CACGCTCGCCCATCGGTGTATGACTTTTCTAGCCTTTTTTCCATCTTCAGGCATATCACACCAGCCCATTTACTTGAAGCTTCCCGTCTGGTGGACATCTGGTTCATTATTTGTGTTCTTATACTATCCACTAAACGGGTTGTTGGCAGGTGACTTGCCTAAGCAATCCAGTTGTTGAATGATTCAACGACATTGGAGGACATTTCGCCATACCGGTTGCCCCTACATTACAGGGTGATGCCCCCATCCAAGAACAATACAGGGTATGTTAAAAAATGAAAATGTAGAATTGGATATTGAAAAGATATGCACCTGAAATAAGCGTTCGCCTAGTGCCGTGAGGGTAGATTTTCGAGGAAGTCGGTTGTAATTTTTTTACCGGAATTGGTGAATTTCACAACCATCTCTTGAAATGCAGTAACAGTGGTTGCATAGGCACAATTGTTGTATCAACCCAAACCAATGGAAATTGTTACGACCCAAACCCGCCCCTATAGGTTTAGTGTCATGACATAGAAACTATCCATTGAGCTGTGCGTATATGTAGAGAACTAGTATACAAGCAAAGTTTTTCCAAAAATACATCTATTGCAACTGAACAAAATCATGTCTTGTAAATATACAACCCCAACTATATACAAATACAAAACCACCGAGACACACAAAATGGGTTCAACTAGCATGGCTCCTCCTGAGCCTGATCATTTCACTTGGAAGATCCTCAAAAGGGTTGATCCAGGTAGACTCGAGGCTTTCTAACTTTGATATTCAGCTTGCCCGCCTACATATATATATATAAATAAATAGTATGCTATAACCCATTGAGTAATAACAGGATAAAGAGGTTATATAATTAAGTTCGATAACATGCTAATCAAATTCTTATTTCAGTTCTCAGTATTCAATAAATTTCATGATCGATGTCATTCAATATCAAATTAAGTGGCACATCTATGAACAATAATATTCTAATCACAGTGAAGTGAAAACCAGTGGACCATGAAGGGTCAAACCAATGGATCATGGAGGGTCTAACACTAGAGATCTCTGTGTTGCAAATAATCTAATAGCCATGGTATTGTTACTCCCAGGCAATAGCCTACAACCAATAGCCGTGGTATTGTTACCCCAGGCAAGGGCCTATGCTCAATGGATGCCACAAACACATTTCGAAAATGAACTTCACTCATCATTACAAAATAACTTTTCGATAAGCCATTCAATCAATCACATGTTGATTCCAAGAACAATAACAATTTCAAAAATAATATTACTTTAACATATCTTTATAAAGTTACCACTCACAGTGGTTTGAGTTGTCACTAAGCCTCGAACGTCAACCTAAACAAAACACGTATCAGAAGCACAGTTGAAGCGTCAATTTATTTTAATTCAATTCTTCTCATGTGTTTCTAATTCATTCTACGATTACATGAGTCCAAATGGTGCCTAAGAACACTTGGAGTGGCATGAGGATGCAAAATATGCACTTAAAAGATTTCCACGAAATTTGCTATAAACAGGGTCTTCGCTCCAGCGCAACTTCATTCGCCTGAGAGGGGGCTCAAAAACAAAGGTGGTAGCTCGGGCGGTCTGCAAACTTCGCAAAAGTACTGGTTGCATGACATTCCCGTTCAACGGTCGCTCGAGCGAAAGACTGAGTAAAAAGGGTTCTCGCTCAAGTGCCACTTTGGTCGCTCGAGCGGACTATAAAATTTTCCAAAACTTATGGGAGCTCGATTTTCACGCTTGAGTGACACTTTCTTCGATTAAAACGGGCACGACGAATTCTGGAATTTCCAAAACTATGTTTAAGCTTCAAAGTTGATATTCAAAGGTTCAAAACTTGTGTTTTTGGTACAAAAACTTGGAAAAACATTGTATAATATGAAAATACTTCCAATTTGAAACCATTTATTCAAAATCATGCTCTAATTGTCCAAATTTGAGCTTATACTATCAAGTTAAAACCATACATGTTATAGATTAAGTCCTATTCATGTTAAAACACCATAAAGTGATATAAAATGCATGAATCCATGGATGATCTTCAAGTTCATGCCTCCTAAGCTTCATGCATGTATGAATTTCAAGAAATCTTAACTCAAAAACGAAACATTAAGCATGCATGTGCATAATTCAACTCAAATTCATCATATTCATGGTAATTCATGCTTAACCTACCCAAATTCAAGCAAATGATCCTATAACTCCATACACTTAGTTTCTATATGACTCAATTCCAAGAATTTAGGATGAGTCTCATACCTAATGTGTGAATTCAAGCGTTGGCCTAGTACAATTCACCAAAATTCTAGCAATTCTTTTCAAATCTCTTCTTCTTCTCTCTAAAGTGTTGAGTTCTCTTCTCTCTTCCTCAAATTCTCAGCTCAAAAGTGTGTATATGTGAACTTAAGGCTTAATTAGAGCCTTATATAGGATGTAATTAATTTAGCCTAATTAATATGATTAAGGCTAATTAACTAGGCTTAATCTAACTAATTCAATTAGTTTATTCTAATTATTTTGATCCAAATCAAATTCCAGTTAAAGTTGCCATAAAATCCTAAATAGTCTAATTAGCCTATTGGGCTAGTTAATTTCAGTTTCTGAAGTCGTCTAAGCTCTCAATGTCTGCCTCTAAGTTGTCAATTCAAACAGATATTCCATGTAATAACAGATAATTACGAAATTAAGCATGTAATCACATAAGTAAACACACAATCATGAAATTAGGTTCATTAAAATAACATAATATACTAGTTCGAAGGTCGGGGTCATCACAGAAATTATGCATATATTTCAGTTTGTCCCTTAGGTTCCTCTGAAGGTGTTGCCTGCAAAATGCATGGCGAGCATTCGGGAATATGATGGGCATGGCCTCCATAAGACCAACGTGGCGGTCCGATATGAATGTCAACGTCCTGTTTTCACTGAGTGCATTACGTAAATGCTGTAAAAACCATGACCATTTTGTTGCATTCTCCGCACCGACAATCGTAAATGCGACTGGGAAAAGTCCTGTGTGGAATCATATTGGTCAGTTGTGTATGCATTTTCTGTGTTGTGTATGTATCAATTCACACTGTCGAGTGGTTTGGGAATTGTGTGACAGGATATATGTTAGTGTGAGACATACCTTGGTTTCCATCCTTAGTCGTGGCAGCAAGTAAATTCCTTCTGAACCTCCCATTCAAGAAAGTGCCGTCTAGGAAAAGTAGTGGGCGACAATGTTTGAATCCGTTGATGCACGCTTTGAATGATATGAAAAATCGTTCAAGACGGTTGTCGTGATCATAACAATCACTACTGATGTAAGTACCCGGATTGTGTTCCATCACGTCACCACTATACCAACATAGTTGGTTGAAAGATGCACTATGGGCGCCAAACAACTCGCCTCTGGCTTTCTTGACACCTAACCAAGCAACACGGTAACTTATCTCAAGGCCATAGTTTTTTTTTTCAAATCAAATGCAACATTAGTTGGCTTGGTTAAAGGCTTGTTGCGAATGCGTTGTGCGAAGATGTCTGACACCAAGTCTGATCCGTGGCGTCGGTTCTTCACTGTGCGAACAACGACGCCACACATGTGTTCACTATCCCATTTACGAAGGTAGAAAAACCCATTAGCATCTAACACTCGAGCATGCACAAACCATGTGCAACCCTTCAAGTTCCGTTTCGAACACATAGTAGTAATTCGTATTGAGTCGTTTTTCAAATACTTGAATTCGAAACTACACTCCACCGCATACTTACAAAGTACTGTCCGAAACTCGTGCGCTTCCCCTTCGAAACTTTGTCCAACATGAGTAATTTCGTTAGCCATGTAGTCGATAGGAAAGTGTTTTCATAATGGGGACAGTAACTTGGCAACAAATCAATGTCGTAATCTATATCCACCATGTGAACACTCCGTTTGACACCACCCCGTAGGGCGGATTGGATTGTTGTTAACGAAATCATCGTTGGATGCGACACTGACACAAGCGTGACTCAACAATAATGTCGATTAGTTGCAAGCAAAAAGAGTGTGCAAGATGAACCATATTTTGCATATCTACATCATTTTGTAAGAAGAAATTGTTGTAACCCAGCATCTTGAAGAACAAACAAATATTACCTGGCGTAAGGCCAGCAAATTTGTCACACACAAAAGTAACCAGCTCTACAAATGCGTACAAAGGTTTCAGATTATATGCAAAATTGGTGGATTGGAAATAGCACAACAACATAACAACGCCATCCATCCCTGCATACAAAATAGTAGGACACTGATTAGAATTTATTAAAGAAGTTACAAACACACAAACATGGTCGTATGTGTGCAGTCCACAAACACTGCACAATCTTGCACACACGTTTTGGCGAAATGGACATGACAAAAATAGCATTGGGGATGGGTGGTGCCATAAACAAGATGAAAAGCATATGAAACAAACATATACACGGGAAACCCAGCGTGTGTACAACACCGATTCGAACGTCGACGACATACCTGTTGATGGCGCTATAGTGGCGACCTTGGCATAACCCTAAAGAAAAATATGCATGCGATTTCGTTATGTCGCACAATGACCTCACACACATGTGCAAATCTCTATGCGGCGACTATGGTTATAAAATCTTCCACGATATTCCACTCCTCAAACAGAATCACATGTCGTGATCCCTAAGCTTGTATGACCCAATCAAGGAAAGGTGATGGATATGGACGTGATTCTTAAACTTGTGTGACCCAATCAAGGAAAGGGCATAAATGTCCATAATATAAACATCCAAATCAAAATGGAACTTATGGGTGATAACCTTATCACTGATGGAATCTACAAGTGCATGTGTAAAACTTTAGAACTAAATGGGAAAATTGATGTTGAGATTTTTGGATAATTTTTCCTTTAAAATAATCAAAAAATAATTTAAAAAACAAAATTTTAACCTAATTCACAAAATAACAATTATTATATTGTTATTATTATTTTTGATTTTTTGTAGCATAAACGTAACTCATATCAGTATCACACCGGAATTAATTTCCAAGGCGGGAACAACATCCTCGTTCCCTCCATCCTTTTTCTCTCTAGATCAGATTTTGTTGCTTCTACTCCCAAACCCCCAAATTGTGTCCCTCAACAAAACCCTAATTTCAAAACCAGCCCTAATTGAGCTGATCCAATGCACAACTCAGCCGCGGAGGTTGCCGGTGTCGGTGATCTACAGCAACCCGTCCGCCGGAGATTGGTCCAGTCGACACTGTTCCCGCATAGGTCCCAAGACAATGCAACAGAGAAAGAGGACAAAAAAGGCGATCAAAAGCCCAACGAAGAAGAAGAAGAAGAAGAAGAAGAGTATTGCGCGAGTCAAGGCAAGAAGAAGAGACAGCGAAAGCCCAGAGCTCCTAAGAAGGTGAGTTTCTCAAATTTTACGACGTTAATTTTGCTTGGTTTGGTGTTATTTATTTTGATTGATTGTTAGTCAATAGGGTGAAAAGATAGAGATGATACAGTCCAGGCATTCAAAATTATGCTTGAATTTATACTAATTTTAGTTGGTTGGGTGGAATATAAACGAATATCAACGTATGGAATTTTTTAGGGTGTAAATTAACTTAATCCAGGTGATGGAGTCGTCACTGACTTTGATCAAATAATCTAACACAAAACAGAAAAAAATAAAATTTCCTTTGGATAGTGGGTGTTGGGACAATTTGTAAACAATCTGGAAAATAATAAATACAGGCTTTAAGGTGTATATAGTGACACTTTATTTTGAAAGTTATTTGCCCCCACTCCGAAGAGTTTGGTGTTGGGTTGCAGGCAAAGTCGTTCACAGGATGTAACAAAGCTGCTTCGACAAAGAACTGTAACTAGCAAAGTCGGAAAATTTCCATGAAATCGTTTTGGTTTATAGATATTATGCCGACACAGAGTGATTGATTGTGTTGAAAAAATTTGGACTGTAGTATATTAATAGATAAAGAAGTGTCTTTGTAGAAAGACACAACCCATTTGAAAAAACCCACCCATTCATATAGGCACCCATTAAACCAAAACCAAGCCGTTTATCAATTCGCTAGGATGTACATTAAGAATTAAGAACTTTATCCAAGTGATGGAGTAGTCACTGAGTTCGGTCAAATCATCAAACAAAACATAAAACTTTTTGCCTTGGATAGTGGGCGTGAGTGAACAGTAAGAACTCTTAATATCGATTATGCTTTTTTAAAGAACAGGTAATGGTTGTAAGTTATTTTGCAGTCTATCATTATTGTCAGGCCCAAGGTGGAAAATCTTATTGAGGCTTTTAATAATTTTTTACATTGTAATTATATTCTTGTTATACTATCACTTTTATTTAAAATTCACAACATTCACAATCAAAACAATTTTATTTGTTGTAATTTTAATTTTTTGATGGACAATTATCCGATATGTCTAATTTCACAATCAAAACAATTTTGATAATTAATAAATTAAATCATGTAAGATTTCATACTTTTGTGGAAAACAAAAATAATAAACAATGAAGTGAATATACATGTTATAATTTTGATAACCAAGTAAAGAAGGACAATTTCTTTTTGTAGTGAAGAAGAGGGAGAGGGTTCTTGAACCTTAAACCCTATACTAAAATGCTTGGCAAAGTAGTATTTTGTTTTGATAATAACAATTATTTATGCAAATATTTTTGTTTTCTTTTATGTATGTACACACTGCAGAGTAATGATATAATAAGTGAGGCCTTCCTCTACTAGGCGAGTACCTAAATTGCCTTGAGCCGCCACTGATTGTCATTCTTCTTCATTATTTCAATTTTTTCATAGGAAGTTTATTGGATGCAAGTTTATTGTTTCACTGATTATTTTTAGTGCTGTTATTTTAGATGTCAAAGCAGTTGCACTTATCTGTCTTAATTTGATATAGGTTGCTGTAAATGGCAAACAGATCCCGAGCAAGAAGGTGGATGACAAAGATTGTCCAGCTATTGAGAGTAAGTGCACGCCATGCTGGAAATTTTTTCACTGTTTTTCAAGTTAGGATGTCATGAACTCTTAACCACTGCACTTAGCAGGCCTGCAAATTGTTTAATACGACAAATATTTTGGATTTCATGCAGATCCTGATTTATTCTTAAAAGCTTCTGAAGGACAAAATCCACAAAAAAAGCAGCAATGTGTTGCTTCACCAGAAGAAAATGATAAAACATGTTCTCCTTTAGAATCTCCAACCAGTATGTCTCTTTTCTCATGTTATATGCCTCCAGATTAAGTTTTCCGTAGCCTTTAACTCATCAAATTTACGTGATGATATTGCAAGCTTTTGAAGAGAAAAATGATTCAAGTAATGGAGGACATGGTAGACATCAGGCTTAGTTTTGGCAGATAATGCCATATCGCTGTAAAATGTACAAGAACACTGCAATTGTTTTTGGCCTTATAGTGTAAGGGTTATTTGAAGCCAGACAGGCAGGCAAGTTTGTTGAGGAAAAGCTCAGTAGTAGGAGTATTTGCATTCAACTCTTCATGGGCGTACCTGATGCATGCATCCATGGAAATTATTCTTTACTCAAACTTTGTTGGGGGTAACCATTAATGGTGGGGGTTGGGGGGTGGGTGGTTGGGTGCTATCAATGTAAACCAGGCTTGGGCTAAATACAGACCTGTGATAGAGCAAACCATGCATGCTATTGACTTGCAACCACTTGTAGGAATTAGCCAACCTAACCAAACCAAGTCTTAAGTCCCATCAAATGGGGTTGGCTACATGAATCTTTCTTCCCCACGCGGCTCTATCAAAGGCCATTTTGTTAGTCAAATTAAGTATATCCATATCTCTATTTACAATGCTAGCTAACGTTAATCTAGGTTTACCTGGTCCCTAACACTTCCATCTACAGTTACTGCATCGCATCTCTTTACTACTGTCTCTGTTGGTTTCCATTGAATATGACCAAACCATCTCAATCGATTATCTCTCAACTTATCTTCTATTGGTGTTGCTCCTACTCATTCCCGAGTACACTTATTTCTAATTCTGTATTGTCTAGTCTTGCCACACATCTACCTTAGCATTTTCATCTCAGCCACACTCATCTTATGTTGTTTCTTGGTTGCCCAACACTCCGTTTCATACAACATCGTTGGTCTAATAGCCGTTCTATAGAACTTCTCTTTTAGTCTAGTGGGTATTTGTTTGTCGCACAGTACTCCAGATGTACTTCTCCACTTACACCATCCCGCCTTAATCCTATGGGCCAGATCCGCATCAATCTCCCCTGCTGTTATGATAATCGATCCTAAATAATGAAAATATTCACTCTTAAGCAATTCTTGGAAGTTGGATCTCAACCTTCACTTCTCCTCTGTTTTCATTGTTACTGTTACTAAATTTAAATTCCATATACTTTGTCTTAGTTCTGCTTATCCGGAATCCTTTAGATTCAAGTGTTTTTTTCTAAATCTCCAACTTTGTGTTAACTCCTTCTCTAGTCTCATCTACTAGGCACGATATCGTCTGCAAATAGCATACACCATGGCATGTCATCCTCAATATTTTTCGTCAACTTATCCATAACTAAAGTAAAAAGATAAAGACTCAAAGTAGATCATTGGTGTAACCCTACAGTGATAAGAAATTCATTTGTCTCTCCAGCAGGCGATCTAACAGTGATTACCATCCTTTTATACATGTCCCTAATCACATCAATGCAACATTTTGTCACCCTTTTCTCTTCTAACACCCACCATATTATATCCTGAGGCACTCTATCATATGTTTTCTCAAGGTCGATAAACACTATATGAATGTCTTTTTTCTTTTCTCTGTACTTTTCTATTACTCTTCTCAAAAGATAGATCGCTTTCATTGTTGACCTGCCAGGCATAAACTCAAATTGATTCTCTAACACCTCTGTTATATCTTGCAATCGGCGTTCTATCACCATCTCCCTCACTTTCATCATATGACACATTAGCTTGATTTCTCTATAATTGTTGCAATTCTGGACATCTTCTTTACTTTTATAGATTGACACTAAAATACTCTTCCTCCACTCATCTGGCATGTTCCTAATCAACAAAATTTTGCTAAACAACCTAGTTAACCAAGCAACTCTCTTTTTACCCAAATACTTTCAAGTTTCAATAGGGATATCATTAGCTCTTAAAATCTTATTTGATTTCATCTTCGTAAATGCAATCTCTTTTCAAAGTTCCTAATCCTATGATAGAACCTATAGTCTTAGTTTATTGTATTACTGGCTATTTCTTCCCCTATTGACGTACCTTCATGTTCCTCATTTAATAGTTTATCAAAATAGTTCTTCCATCTTTCTTTAATCTCTTCATCCTTCACCAATATCTTAGAATTCTCACTCTTGATGCACTTAACTTGATTAAAATCTCTTGTTTTCCTCTCCCGTATCTTAGTAAGTTTGTACACCCTCTACTCTCCTTCCTTGCTACCTAGTCTAGTGTATAGGTCATCATAAGCTTTCAATTGAGCCTCTCTCACTACTTTCTTGACTTCCTTATTAGCCAATCTATAGCTCTTAAGGTTTTCCTCAGTTCAATCATTCTGCCATTTTTTAAAGCACTCTTTTTTTATCTTAGCTACCGCTAGAATCTCTTCTCTCCACCACCAAGTTTCCCTAGAGCTGGGTCCCGTTCCTTTCGACTCTCCAAACAATCCCTTGAGATTCTTCTTATACAATTGGCCATTGAGTTCCACATAGTGTTAGCATCCTCTTCCAAGTCTCAAGTACCTTCCTTATCCATTCTATTCTTAAATATTACTAGTTTATCACCTTTTAGGTCTCACCATCTCGTCCTACGACGTCCACCATCCTTCCTAGCTTGGTATAGCCCTTTAAAACATAAACATAAATCTAGTATCAAAATTCTATGTTGAGAGGTCAGGCTCTCTTTGGGAATCACCTTACAATCATTGCATTATAGGCGGTCTACTTTTCTCACTAAGTAATCTATTTGGCTCTTAACTGACCTACTCTTAAAGATTATTAAATGTTCCTTTCTCTTCTTATATATAGTATTGGCAACCACAAGGTCAGAAGCGAACGCAAAATCTAAAATACTCTCTCCAGTCTCATTTCTGTTACCAAAATCGTATCCATCATGCACCATTTCATAGCCTAGTTTATCTATGCCTATATGGCCATTAAAATCTCTACCTATAACCAGGTTCTCTCATACGGGTATCTCCTCTAAAATCTCATCCATTTGCTCCCAAAAATCCTTCTTAGTTCGATCATCTAATCTTACTTGAGGGGCATATGCACTAATAACGTTCACTATATTTCCTCCAATAACTAGTTTAACTAGCATAATCCTATCCCCTTTCCTAATGACCGCCACTACACTCTCCATAAGACCCTTAGCAATTATGATTCCTACCCCATTCCTGCGTTTATCCTTACCACTATAATGCAATTTTAAACCGGCATCCTCAATTTCCCCAGTTTTCTCACCTGTCCACTTAGTTTCTTGTACGCAAGCTGTACTAACTCTCCCTCTAATCATAACATCTACCAATTCCATCGTCTTACCAGTTAAGGTTCCTATATTCCAAGTAGCTACCTTAAACTTATAGTTTTGGACTAGCTTCTTTACCCGCGCTCGTCCAGAAAAACGCGGGAACCTTTGCCCATTTTTCACCGCACCCAGTTGCCGATGTGGCACCCCTTGCTCACTTTTCCAAACACCCGGAGGCAGGCACAACGCGTCACTTGAGGGGAACGACCTAGCATTTAAACAATTCAAAGTAGGATTCATTTGAATGGAGATAAGCATGAAAGGAGGAAAGCACCTCCTTCAACTTAGATGAGTTCATCTTTAAATCAACTAGGAAATTTGGGGAAATATCAGAGAGAAACTATAATAATATTAAGTGCATCTGAATGCCTGAAAAGTACTGTGGCTTCTAAATGAAATCCATATAAGGTTTTAATCGCAAATTAGTATACATTGCAGAAAGCAATCTACTTGAAAACACCACCTAAAACTGACATTTGCCACTACATGGAAGTTTCTAGAGAATTTACATTTTGATGCCCCTGACATCTTCTTTGTGGTGTAAAAATCGAACAGTGTACAATTTTCTTAATTGCCCTGGGTCATGACATGTCCAATCTGGTCCATAGTTGGCAGTGTAGTAACCATAGCCATTTGATAGGTCTGTGATAAGGCTGGATAAAATTTATGCAACCTTGGGATAATCACAGAGAAATGTACAGAGCCTTAATATCCAGATGAAGGGATATGTAGAACCATATTGAGGATGGATATCCAGAACACCTGTGAAAGCAATTATGAGGGCCTATTGCTGGTTGGAAGAAAAGCCCCAATTTGTGGTCAATTTGTTCATCACATGTCTGGCACTGTTGTACCAGAAAGTGTGTGAAACCTCAGCTAGCCAATATCCTGATACCTGAATTGGTAACATCCTTGATGTTGCCAAAGTCTCCAAATTATATATAGAATTTTCCGGGATGGCAGTGCTATGCTTCATTTCTTCTCCTCAACCATGTTCTTGGATTTTCCTTTAATTTTCTTCATGTATTGATTATTTCATGAAAGGGCAGGTTGGCCCAATGATAAAGGCTTGGTGTTAATGTCTTAGTGGCATGGGTTTGAGTAAACAGCCTCTCAGAAGCCTGGAAATGGTGGTAAGGCTATGTACATCTTACCCTTCCATGCCCAGCTTTAGTAGGAGCCTGATGCATTGGGTTGCCCCTTTTTTATGTCTTGATTATTTCATGATTCTAAATTAGCACAGTATGGTGAATTCTAGGATTTTGAATTTGTCACCATGGTTAAAGCCAAAGAGCCTCGATGTCCAGACGGACTGAGATCCCTTAGTTCTAAAGGGAGGTAAATTAGGATAACTTAAGGCAAACAATAACTTTACTTCTGAAACTTTGTTGGCAAAATGAGCTAGTTTGATATGGAAAGAGGTACGCCCAAATAAGCAATCACACCTCTTCAAAATGAATCACATCTTCAAATGAAATCCTTTTGATCAATACGTATTTATAAGAATGTCTATAGGCACCTTTATCGAAAAGTCCAAATCCCTTTGAGGTCAATCTGCAACTGGGGAACTAAATCCTTTTGTGAAGCATTTTTGTGTTCATCTTCATCATGCTTTGAGTTCGATATTGTAATTTATTGCTAGGTGCTACACTGTTCCCTACTCCCATTGTTGTTTGAATAAATTTGATATGTAATATGTTATTTGGAAGATATGAAGACGCCTAGGCAGTTGAAGCGACATGCGAATTCTACACCAAAGAAGAAGCAGGTGCAAACTACACCAAGAAAGAAGCGGGTGCAAACTACACCCAAAAAAAAAATTATGAATGGTGTCCCTGAGCAAATATCAGACAGTCCTATACAGAGTGGAAACGCGACACAATCAATTCCTGATCTGCGGTTAGAGGCAAAAATGAAAGCTGAGGTTAGTCGCTTCTATGCTCTGTTCACTTTTATGTCTTTTTAAATTTTCCCCTTATCTTAAATTTATTTCTTGTTGTTGGACTTTGATCCTAGCGCATATTATTTATGTTTTTCTGTGTATACACCCTTTGTAGTGACACATTTTAGAGATGAATCCATATTTGTCTAGCACTTATTTGAAATTTATTGTTTTTTTTTTTGAATTTTTTTGATTATGTGAGCTTTAGCTTGGAAGATAATGAATTTGTTTCACAGATATGCTTATTTACTCCGTTATTACTACAATATGACATTTTCAGTCGCTAAGTGCACTTCTTTTACTTTTATCAGGAAAATGCACGTATGTTTGGAGGAAAGCAAATACATCCATTTTTCTTATCACAGAAAATGGCCAAGAAAAACCAGGAGACGATTGACGTGGAGAGCAATTGCTGCTCTGTTGAGAGGAAGGATAAAAGCACTATCTTCAGCCCTATTCATGTATTTGAAAATTTTCAGGTATATACTGAACTTGAATTGGCAGCTCCCTGATCATCTAGGTTTATGATAGATTGCTTTCATTTAATTTTTTCATTGTTCTCACCTAGAGTGAAATTTGAGATTTGCTTATGCAGGATGATGCTGGTTTACTTGATTGGGGGAATTTGATTCTTTCTGAAAGAAGCTTTATTGGTACCCATTGTGATCTAAAAAGTGCGTGCTCATCGGTTTTTGAAGGATTTGTCAATCCTTTAAATTTTGATGACATTCTAAATCTCGATCCAAGTAGAACATCATTGCTTCAGCATGAGGCTGTTCAACATGAAGTGGTCTCTTTGGATCAGTCTCCTGTTCAACGAAAACATAGGCATGCTGTATCGCCACCATTATCAGCTGATGAGCCAGTGGTGCACTATGAACTATTAAAGGATATAGAAGTGGTAACATATTGCATTTATTAAACTGGATACTATGTTTTTAATTTTCAGTGGATTCTACTGTTGCCATAATGTAAACAATTGTTGCCTGTTTGTATTGTACTTCACAATTTACGAATTCATATTTCACCATCGTTACTGCAGAATTGGCAGGATCATGAAATGGAGAAAGCTGATTTCTTTTCTGGGCATGTTGGTTGTGTAAGAAACTCAGATGTTGAGTGGGAGGGTAGATTTCTTCATGAAAGGTGAGGATTCTCTAGTCTCTTCATGGCACCCATGTATGCTTGAGTTTCCTTTACTTATTTTTCGTTATCACAGTTTATTTTTTATTTTTAGGGAGATATTTAATTCATTGCTTACAAGGTTTGAAAGGTACCTTAAGAGCTTCATTTGGTTTGGTTTATTAATAGCTAAAAGGAACATTGCATGGTAACAGATTTCAAATAAAAGGAGAAACTACCTGAAGAAAAAGTTTGGATAAGCAGTTATCACATACTTTCTTCCCCCTCACCTCCACCTTGAGAGAAAGGAGTCAACTATTACTTATGGTGCTATGAATAATTTTGGAATAACTACGTATCATATGGTATATATTAATTGGTTTCGCTAGATAATGATGTATTGTAGCTATTAGCATGGAACTTCCATTTGAATTCCTACATTTGTGTCTTCTTTCTCAGCTGAGGTGAAATTTGACTTTTGCTATGTTCCTTCTATGGAGAAAATGGAACCTTGTGAGAAAAACTCTACCATTACTAGTTATTCTCTAGAATGCATCCACTCATCACTCTCTGAAGGATCCTTCATGAAAACTGCAAAAACTTTTTAGAAAGTTAGATTGATGGATGTTACCTAAGTACACTGCATATGCTTTTGGATGCATCCTGTATATTTTTCTCCTCTTTTGTACTTGGTGGTTGCTGATGTGAGCAAATTGCAAGAGACAAACTGGAGATGCACCAATTAGACAAACTTGTTCTTTGTACATAAGATTTGGCTTCATGGATATTTATCTACGAACGTTGTTTTCGATTTCCATTCTGTCGATAGGTGCCCTACTTGAAGGGAAGATGCCGAAGCTCAAGAGATACAGAACAAAGTGATTACTCTGCCATGGAACTTCTTATTCAAAGAAGAAACTCTTTTATTTTTATTTATATATATAGTTCCCCCCCTTTATATGTTAAGCTCGCTGTGAGCTTCAACTACTGAAAATTGAAGGGAGTTAATTTAGCAAGAGAGTTTCCTTCACTTTTCTAAAAACGTTCTTCGTTTTTTGTTAGATTGATTGGGCTGATAGATTAAAAAAATGTGGAAATTGTGCAAGTGTTATGTTATTTGCTAAATTTTGTACCACTTTGGATATGATTGTGTGAAGGCAGGATGTAGTTATAAATTCTAGTATCAATTTGCGAACATAAAACTTGTGTAGACTATATTCAGTAGATCATATGCTGCTCAAGATATTTATATTCCATAAAATAGCAGTGTCAACTTTATTATTTGCTTTATATTTTTTGGAGCAGAGTTTAATTGCTGATTTTGTCTTAGATTTGACCTTTTATTGTTTGATAGGTTTGAAAGTACTTGTTTGCAGTTATTCATGCACAACATTGTGTTTCAGTGATCATTTGCTTTCCATTCTACTGTTGCTTGCACAGGATGATGGCATATTATCATGGTTGTCGCAATCACCCAGAGAACAGCCTGTGGACAAATAAATACCTGCCTGAAAAGGCCATGGAGGTGAGATATCCTGAAATGTATCAATTAAAAAATCTTCAATGAAATTAGAAAATTTGCTTATAGTTATCATGATAGAAGGGCACCCATTCCTGCTTCCACCTTTAATTAGCTGCCACCACTTCCACCTATAACGCTTTCCTATTGGCATCAATAACTGAACCATACAGTTCCAAAAGTACCCAAGATATCATCAACAATTGAGAGGAGATGGGATGGAGTGGCTTTTTATTTGCACATACATACATTTACATAAGGTATCACCTCGGCACCAACCGTTCCATTGCCCCCAAAACCTCCCAATCCACAAATCTACTCCTGACTGTCTTTATGTTTCTCACAAACACACCACACCAAATGAACTTTCAAGATTGGATCATATGTTCCATAACCGCCGTTTGCCCAGATCATTCATGCTCCTTGCATTCCAAGATATGATCTTGACTTCACTGTGATGCTGTAAAGTGTGAACAATCTCTTCTTAACAGAATTGCCCCTTTCCTAACTGCTGCAGTCAATTAAAATGAAACATATTTCTTAACATATATCCATTTCACATAAATAATTATGTATGTGATAAGCTATATTTGCCTATGATGTGTGGTTCTGCAGGTATGTGGTAACGAAGAATCTGTGAATTTCTTAAGTGAGTGGCTACACCTTTGGCATGAAAGTGGTTTTCGATCCAGCAAAGATCGTAATGTTGGTAAAAAATTTATTGTCCAAGATGATGATTATAACTGTTACCAAAGTGACTGTGATTCTGAAAATAAAGATGAAGAAAATGGCCTGAAGAATGTTCTCTTAGTTGCGGGTCCAGTTGGGGTATACATCTCGATTCCTTTCCATTCCTTTTATGGATATGGATATGCACATGCACACACATGCTCACTTTTGAGGTAGAAATAGTGAAAACTGCAATATGTGTTTGCACCTTAGGGTCACCATCTTCATTGCATATTTGATACATTATAACTTCTCATGTTTTTTGTTGAATGCTTATATCTTGTTATACTTGATAAATCTATACTTCATACTACTGCAACCATACTTTTCCAGGCTATAGTGTTGTTGCCTTTTAGTGTGTTGAAGGAATTTATAGGAAATTTACCATCTTTTTGATCCAATGGAATAGATCATATTAGTTTTTAAAAATTACCTATTTTTCCATTAAATTTTCTTTGATTGAATAAAAGATCATGTTACTGCACTGTTGTAGGGTTCTGTTTAGTATTACTGCCAATTATTTTTATCAGTTAAATATATGTGCAATTTTGATTGTAGTGGCTAAAACTATGCCTCTTTAAATGCAGAGTGGGAAGTCTGCAGCTATCTATGCTTGTGCAAAAGAACAAGGTTTTCATGTTATTGAGGTACTGATAAATTGGTGATATCCTTGTTATTGGACCATTTTGCTTATTATCTTTTTGAAAATTAAAGGCACATGCAACTTGAGTGATGGCCCTACCATCTGTCCAACCCACGCAGAAACTTCTGAATGCGCAATTTATCATTCAATCAGATACAATTTTCTCTTCCCGAAGTGAATTAAAATCAAGCCTTTTCTTTTTCTATAATTTTATCTAACCATTGAAAGCATCCATAGACTGCAAAGCTCTAACATATGTTCTGTTGTGTTGCTAGGTCAATGCATCAGATTGGCGAACGCGAACTAATGTGATGCAAAGATTTGGGGGTGGTGTAGAATCATATTGGGTTCAACGGTTTGTTAAAATCTTTGTTATTTGTTTCCATTTTGAATGTTGCTTCTCAACTGTTGTTTTAGAACTGTAGATAACATGCCCACAACAGCTTTTCCTTACCTTAATTGTTCATGATTTGAAGTGTAATTTGTTTTGAAAATTAGACCATTTTTCTTTACTGAACATGATAATAGAGGTCTACATGATTTGCCCATTAGACTTCTTATTGATAATGAGAATAGAGGTCTACATGAATCGTTCGTATGAGATTTTTAGAACTTTCCTATCTTTCAAAGACCTGTTACTTTTCCTTAGGAGCAAATGCAATCTAAGCATGATGATTGATAAATGCTAGCATCCAGAAAATGCTTGAACGGAGGTTTAAAGGCTTCAATGGTAAGACAAAATCTTTACTTGGTGGGATCAATTAAGGGTTGCTATCCCAAAAACAAGACGTAAGCATGGGTCTGTCCCTGGACGGTGTGAAAGGGTTTACATTGACCTTGAAAGGGTATAGCCCATAAAATGGGTCTACATGATTTGCCTATTAGATATGTAGATCATGTTAAGAGTTTTAACTTCTGTAACATTATTCAACCTGATTTGTACGTTAAATGTCCATGTTGTGTTCACACTTCACAGCGATCTACTTTGAAAGGTAATCTGACACTATGTGAGGAGAAAAAGGAAAAAGATCTAAGAACTTTATTTTATTTTGTTTTTAAAATTGGTCGAAGGGCATAGGGGATAGCACGGTGGTAAGGTATCAAGCTTGTTTAGGGAGTACCTCATCCACTAGGTCAACCCCTTGGTCTTGATCTAAGAACTTTACCTGCTCAAGATTTATTCCTATAAACTCAACCCATTGATTGGGAGATAAAAATAAGTACCCATAGACTCTAGAATAACTACTCCAACTAGGATCAACACCTTAAAATAAGAGACTTGCGCACTTTGACTACTAAGAGTATTCTAGAACTAACAATAACCATATGATAACCTAATAACATAATTAGACCCAAAATATGATCCATGTAGAGTCCATGTCCATCAAAATTTAAATATACTAAATTATTGTTGACCCCTAAAACATAAATAAAAATGTGTAAAAGAAAATTAATTTGAATAAAAGTAGATTAGAACCCTAAACTTCCATGGGCATTGGACACTTACTTGCTTCTCAAGGGGTCTGTAGCTTTTGTTATAGGCTTCCAAAATACAATAGGTGTGGCATTGGTTTCTATGGTTAGATGACGGGTTATCACATTAGTCTGTTGGAGCATGTGTGAAGGTAGAGTCTCACATCGGATAAAGAGTAAAAGAGATGAGTCTTAACATACATTAGATGGGCTTTCTATTTGTAGGATTAACCTTTTAAGTGGATATGAGTTCCAAATAATGTATGTTTGACATGGCGTTTGTGGACTCTAGAGTTTTTCCCTAATGGATTGGGCCGGTATTGATGTGCGCTTATGTGCTCCCTAATTCCCTAAGATAGTCGTCGTCTAAGTGGGTGTTTGGGAAGTGAGTTTTTTTTAGTTGTAGGATATTATTGGAGAAATTTTCTTTTGTGTTTGGGAAGATAGTTGGGTTTTTTTGTAGTTGGATGTGATGTTTGTGAGAGAAAAAGTGAAATGATTATGGGGTTTGATGTGATATTTTGTTTGAATTTGTTTTTTTTTGGTTTTGTAACCAATTTGTCTTTTAGTGAAAAAAAACAAAAAAAAACCAAAAAACCAAGTTCCCAAACACCGCCTAAGAACACCAACTTTGAGATTAATTAGTCACTGGGTCATAATGATTTCTGAACAAGCTTCTTTATGTTTTGTTTCTCTTATAAATTCATTGCTAAATTGCATGCCTCATGTGTTCACTTGTTCATTAAACTATTTCATGAAGAATTGCCTGATATTGAGAACTCAAAACTTATGAAACCATGCAAAGTACGGAAATTGTAATGCCGTCAATTTTGTGACCAATAATGACTTGAAGATAAACCACGTCACTTTTTAAGTTCAAGCAATTGTATAGTTACTTGTCCTATTTCCTTCTTTTTCTCTCTTTCCATTTTCTTCTAATTCGACATGATCACTTATTCACTTTAATTGTTGATATTTCTTCCAGTACGATGGAAACTCCTGTGGGTTCAGAGAGCAAGCAAATACTGAAGTCCTTCCCTATCATGTCTAATACCGTGCCAGTGCAAGGGTGTGACAGTGAAGTAATTGAATTGATTCACTTATCAGATGAGGAAGATTTACAAAATGCCACTGGAACGCCAGGGAAATTTGTCTGCAAGCAGAACAGAACTGCTACTGATCATAAAGAAAGTAAACCCTTGATACTCTTTGAAGATGTGGATGCTATTCTTTCTGAAGATCATGGTCTTATTGCCACTATACAAAAACTTGCGGAGACAGCAAAGCGGCCAATTATATTGACCAGCAACAGTAAGAGGGCTTATTGGTTGAAGTAGTTATATTTTCAAATCAAGCTTGCATTTCATGATTTAATGATTGTTATTGTGATAAATTTTAGGTCACAACCCTGTCTTGCCAAATAATTTGGACAGGCTTGAGTTGTGTTTCACAAAACCATCACTGAAGGAGCTCCTTTGCCATGTAAATATGGTATGCATTTTAAATGTATTTTTGTTTTACTCTGATTTTACTTCATGGAAGTCTGTTTACATCATTTGTAATTTCTATGTAGGTTTGTGCCACAGAAAAAACAAAAATTCAACCTTGCTTGGTGGAGCAATTTATTGGCTGTTGTCAAGGAGATATTCGTAAAACCATTATGCACCTCCAGTTCTGGTGCCAGGGCCAGAAGTATAGAAAAGGTTAGTCCCATAGACACATGTATTGATGCAGAATGCATCATGTTGATTGTGAATGTGGCTTGTGCGTAACAGTGCTGAAGGATGCAGTGGCAATTCCTCTCACTGGTTCTAAATTATAACAGAAAGAGAAAAAGAAAAAGGTTGACTTGTTTTATTAAATTAATAAATAGTTGGATGAAACATTGTACACAGGTTCCAATTTCTCTCACATGTTGCGGCCTCTTTTTTACTGGAACAAGGATAGAATGTAAGCAGTACAAGTACAAGTACAAGTACTTAATAAGGAACAACTAAAATACTCCAAAATTTAGAGAAAATTACTCTAGTGATCCCTGTAGTTTTCTGCGTCAATTTTGGTCCCTTGTAGTTCCAATTTTACCAATTTTCCCCTTAAATTTTTTTGGGGGTCAAGTTAGTCCAATTAAAAACAATTGTTATGTATGTTGACGGAAACAACCTCGTGTCTCACCTGACCCTTTTTAGGGTCACTATTGTCCTTTTAGTTTTTCTCTCCCTAGCCTAGCCACCACAGCCATCTCCCTCACCTTCGGCAACTTCACTCAGTTTAACCTTGCCACTGAAAAAAGGAAAACATTGTCAGTAAAAATGAAAAGGAAGGACAGGAAATATTTTGTTTTTGATCCAAAAAAGGAAAGTAAGGACGGAGAACAATTTTTTTTTCTTTTTCCCCATCTTAAATTATTTGTATAGATTGAGAAAAAAATTTGTTAAAATTTTTGCACATAATTCATTAACAACAAATATTATTTTACGAAGGAATGTAGATAACATGTTCAGGAGTAGTTTTTCTTTTCTTTTCTGTTTTTGCTTAGTTTTGTATCTTGTCATCATCAAAAAAAATAAGAATTATTAAATACGTTTACCTTATATTTTTTAATGCATTTAGAATGAGAAAATGAAACCAGTCAAACCATTATTTTGTAATTCAAATGAACCTCAAAAAGATCTCAGTACACCAACTACTTGGGGACTTGTTTACTTACATAGAGATATGCAAATTTTGATATCGAAAGTTATGTTTAATTCCCCACCACCCCCACCAAGAAACCCACAATCTTTGCAAAACCTTGATCCCGACCTACTTGGGAATGACTATTACTTGTTCATAAATTCCTTTTGTTTGCTGAGTTGTATTGACATAAAATAATGGAGTCATTTTGTTTTGAACACTGCCTTTGTGCCTTTAGATGCTGTATAGAATCAAATCAGGTGGTTTAAGACCACATGGTGTTCAAATGAATGCTCAGTGAATAATAATGCAATGGATCCTGTAATTTAATTATGCCATTCTCTTGCAGAAATTGTTCTGTTCAATTTACTTTTTATCATACTAGCTTAGAACATTGAAAAGTATTTAATTTCATGTTTTAAATTGCTCAGATAGTGAAGAGCAGAGAACGTATAGATATGGTCCACTACTCTTTGATCTTGATGCTGGGCATCGGATACTACCAAAGATAATCCCTTGGAGTTATCCTTCTCAATTGTCTGAATTTGTGGAGAAGGAGATCACTAAGTCATTGTTGATGATGGAAGAAAGCTCAAAATTAATGGAGGTAGTCAAGGAGGGAGAGCTAAATAAAAACGAAAGGCAGAACCGTTTGAAGAGGCATAAATCTGAAACTGATAGTATTGAGGCCAAGAAAGAAGCAATTTTAAGAAGGCATTGCTTCGTTCAGGATGGGAATGAATTTGCAAGTCCATGTAAAACTGCTTGTGAATTTTCAAATTCCTCAGGGTCACCACTTGCATTCACTCGTCGAAATGTTCGGAGAAAACTTGACACAGTATTGTCTTCGAATTCTGGAAACGAGAGCTTAAATGATAGATTTCCTGTAGTTGGGGATAAATTGTTTGAGGATACTAACAGTGAAATGTTCCTTGAAGTAGATAGCAAATCTCTCTCTTACTGTCTGGCAACCGAAACGTGCCTTGATCCAGTACCTGAGAAGCAGCTGCTGCTTAATTTCGAAGGGGAGAAGTTGGAGGAAAACTTCAACCCCTTACCGGAGCAGCTTCTTAATTTTGAAGGGGAGAAGTTGCAGGAAAATGGTTATAACTGTTCAGAAACTGCAGTGTGTACACAGATTAATGGAACACGGAAATCAGTTGAAATATCCTGTGTGCCAGAATCATCTTTTGTTCCTGAAACTGAGATCAATGATGGAACATCACTGTTAAGTAAGACAATCTCTTGTGATCACATTCCTGATATAGCGGAAGCGGTTTCTATATTTAATGATTTGATACAAAATTTGCAGCCAGTGGAGACAAATAACCTAATTCATACGTCTGGGTTACACAAAATTCCAGAAATGGTGGAAAATTTTGATGTTTACAAGGAATCAACTCATGGAGAGGAGGTGGGGGACTCACACACTGAGCATGTGGATGCTCTTCCAAGAGGGTATCAAGTAATGGATGAGTGTAGCCGCATGGACTTTAGTAGGGGTGCCAAGTCCAAGGACGAGCATAGGTCCTGCATGTTAATGGATTCTGTTCAAGAAACATGGAGAAGATTTCGCGCTTGTCATACAGATCTGAGACAGTATGTCACCCCCAAACAGAAAGATGCTTCCCTAGCACTGAAACTTACTTATGAAATGAGTAATCTGATATCAGAAGCTGATATGTTACTTGGTGACTGCCAACCGGTAATTTGTGTAAGTCTCTTGTTGTTTGGATTTTATACATCAAGTGAATTTTTAATTTTTGTTTTATGCATGTGCCTTCCCTGATGGTAGGTCAGTATTTCTGCAGGACTCTTTGGACCCATCAATGGTTCCCTCTGAGAAATCTCATTCATTCAGCTGGTATGATGATCAATTGTGGATGGCATCCACAATTGCACAACATGGGTTTTGCTTTTATGCAAAAGAAATTGTTGCTGTAGGATCAAACGGCAGTTCTGTGAATAGAATGGATTTGGCTTTGGAGATGCTGGCTTCTTCAACTAATACAACTGCATTGGGGAAATTGGTCAGGCGGGATAGGAGAATTGATAATTCAGAGATGGGAAGACTGAAAAGTGTCATTTCCACAAAAAGGTATAGAATCGTGGGCCCAGATTCTTTTTTAATAGTTGTACTTGCACACATCATCCACATTCTGTACATATTGCATCAACATATTGATGTGAATAAATAATCAATCAAAATTCCTGCTTTGTCGATGAACATTAAAAGCAGTGCTTATTGCAAGTCATAACTTCAAGGACCTGTCCCTGGCATATTTGTTCCTTTATTCCTTGTAGGATACTTAGCTGCCTTGAAGGTTTTGCATTAGTGAAAACAGTTTATCCTGTGGAAAGACGGAAACAATATGCATGATTAATCATTAATGCAATAAAATTTACATACTTTTTCCATCCCATAACAAGTGTCATGGTTGAAAATGTGAGGTTTAAGGAAGCTTCAAGAAATGCAGGTCACTTCATCTTTCTGGCATTACCTTTCTGAAATTTCCCTTAACAAAGTCGAGAAATAATGATTGCTTTGTGTTAATGGCATTTGTAATATATATATATATATATAATATTGTAAGTAAAAGAAGAATAATTTCATTTTGACATTGGTTTTGGGACAATCAAAATGAAAATTAACACATTGATTTTGGGAGTATAGGCTATGCATGGGGCAAAAGTGGTAATGGGTAATCTTATCAACCCCAGCAAAAGACGAAAAATCTTGGTAATAAATGAGGGCTGCTTGGTTAAGAATTATTAGTTGTTGAAAGTCACTTCTTTCGAGATGTACAATGGAGTCTATTTCTTAGATAACTTTTTTCATCCTCATAATATGTGGGGAATAGGGGGAAATCGACATGGTAGAGCCAAGGCTAGTAAAGAATAGTCCAAGCCCCACCTCCGAAAGGTCCTATTTCTTGTATGATTTACATTTCTGTGGATGTAGTTTATGGATAATGACCAGCCATTCCATGCACCCAACCCAAGTGAATTTTCCTTCATTTGCCTTTTTGGTCAATGATGCAACTTGTCTTGCAGCTTGAGGCATCAACATTAGTTTAAAATTCTGTTTCCAGTCTGAGTCTCTTCGGCTTCTGTACTCATCAAGAATCTATTATATGTTAAACATTCTGTTTGTGCCTGTGGTGCAGTGAATTGGACTCACGGCTTATCTCTGTAGTTCAGTCCATAGTACCGTCAAGATCGTTGTTAGCAACAACAAAAGGCGGTGCACTCTACGAATACCTGTCTTCATTGGGCCAGATTTCAAGATCAGAAGCCTCCCGTTTATCTGAAAGCATTGACAACACGAAGCAAAAAAGGTCTGTGCTTGTCTTGTGTGAGGCTTAAAGTGTAGTGTGAAAATATCATTGCACAAAATTTGATGGCGCGGATTAAATTTTTCTGAGTAGAGTTGCACAATGACATTACAGGGTACGTGTTGCTCGAAACTACTTGAGTACTGGTGCGCTGATGTTTTCTCCCAATGATCTGTCAACGGTTGGTAAATATAATTGCTATGGAAGGGGTTCATCTCAATCCATGGATGCAAGTTGGAGATAATCAAGGAAATCCAACAGTTAGATGCATCAACCATTCAATTAAATTCAATGAAGTGGTTATTGGCTCAGCACAGAAAAGCATCATTCAATGGAGAGAATTTTAGACAGGACCTTTTGCCATAAAAAATGACCGAGGTGGCTATTTATCTTGCCATGTGTTGATGGCCATGCTCCCTCACCAAATGGATGCCAAAATTTTTGGACGAAGAATGAAAAAAAACAAAGTCAGCAGAAGAAGGTACATTGAGCCTAACTTAGGATAACATTTATTTATTTTCCTAATTGTAGATCTTATGGTTGTTCCTTCCGTTTTTTAGAAATGTAAAACTCCGAAAGTCATTGATTTTTGTTTTTTTGGAGGAAAAAGTCATTGATTGATAAAAGAAAATGTTTGATTTTTTTAAAAAAAATTATTGGAAAAAAGTATATATCAAAATAAAAAACACTCCAAGGTCAATTCAAGTTTCCAACATGTCTCTCTACAAAAAAATTCCAACATGGCATAACCCTCGCCGCAAGTTCTTTACCCAAGTTCATGTTTTCCCCTCTTATGAACTAAAACCCCACCACATATCAACAAAAATAAGGGCAACCATGATTATGAAATTGCTTCTGAGCTGCAATTATCTAATATGAAGATTGGTGATGATTGTTTGAGAAATGTTTTATATATTGTTTCTCTGATGGATGATGGGGTTTGTGGGGGAGGTAGTTATGGACAAATGGGTCTACCCAAGGTAGTTTACAATTGAATTGTTAGTGAGCAACTTGATGATTTTTTTAAGTGCATTTAAGAGTGTGTGAATGCACTGGTGGGGGTGTGGTGGGAGAGACTGAAACAGCTGCACGGAGGGGTGACCATCTGTGGTGAGAGAGAGAGAGAGAGAGATGTCTTTCATATATTGTAATACCAAGCTATTTGAGCAAATATTAAGTAGCTCATCCACCTCAACCAAACCCACTTCCTACAATTAAAAGGATATTTAGGCTCCGTTTGGGAAGAGTTATTTGGGATTTTTTTGACTATTTTAGTCATAAAAGACAAAATAGGTTATTTTAGTTATAAAAAATAAAACATCACATTCAACTCATAATAATTATACTATTCTCTCACAAAAAAAAGCCAATAAAACTAAAAAGTCATTTTCAAACTAAGCTTTTTAACTCAGGTTAAAATAGCCAAAAAAATTAAAAAGTTAAAAAATCAATCCACTTTCCAAATGACACTTTATAAGTTGCCAGTCTTATTAACTAAATTCATTTACTTAAGTTTTTTTTTTTTTTCACTTATCAATATATGGTGGTGGTGACCAGTGACGGTGTGAGGCTCTTGGAGAGAGGAGAAGAAGACAACGTGATGAATGTATAATGAGGACAAAATAAGTATTTTATAACTTACTAGTTTTTCTTTAAAAATGTATAAGATATGAGTATTTAAGTCTATTCAATATGATCAGATAATAATTTTTCTTTTTTTGTTTTTTAATTTAAAAAAAGGATTCAATCAAAATAGATAAATAAATAAAAGAACATTTTCTGGTCCAGTTCACTGTCCTTGGACTGTGTTGGGTTTACATATACATTCCAGGTATATTTCTTTGATTTAATACACAGAATTGAATAACAAATAAAAAAATACACATGTCTAAGTAAGATCTATCTCCAAGTAAAAATGAAAAATACCAACAAATAAGAATATTTTTAATGGGCTATATAGTGTTAACATGTATAGTTTTAAATAATATTTTTATATTATAATAGTACGTTGGTAGAATAATCTCAGAAAAAATAACAAAATATAATGGTCACGAGGAGGAGGAGCTAGGAAGGTGCAGCTGAATGCTAATTCGTCTGTATTCCCTCTCTTTTATTTTTCGAAAGTTTTATGGCTGCTAGTGTGAGTTTGGCCATTTTTAATTTCTCTCTCTCTCAAGGAAGCTCAAATTCCCATGAAGACCTGCTGACTCTCTCTCTCTCTCTCTCTCTGTCTGTCCACTTTGATAAAAAAGTATGTGATAGAGATAAATTGCTTGAGAGAGTGGGTGAGTGAATCTGCAGTGAAACATTTGCATTGTAATCTGCCACACACACATCCACACCCCCCACACTAAAATATACATATTGAAACTGTTTGGGCTGTGAGATTTTAGTTTAATTTAGGTTAAAATTTATAAAATAATAAAATAGGTTAAAATAATTAATAAAATAAAATATTATATTAAATTCATAATTATTTTACTTTTTTTTCTCACAAATATCATATCTAACTATAAAAAAAATTCAATCTTCTCAAACACAAAAAATTTTAGCCTACTAAAATAATCAAAAACTAAAATAATCTATTAAAATAACTTCTTAAACACCTACATTATTCACTTTTGAAAAAACATAACTATGCCTCCGTTTGGGAAGTGGGTTAGCTTTTTGGCTTTTTTGGCTATTTTAGCTTGGGCTTAAAAGCTTGGTTTGGGAAGGGCTTTTTGGCTTTTTAGCTTTTTTGAGTTTTTTTGTGAGAGAAGAATGTAATGATTATGGGTTGGATGTGATGTTTTGTTTGTTATGGCTAAAATAGCCTATTTTGTTTTTTGTGGCTAAAATAGCTAAAAAAGCCTGCAAACCCACTTGCCAAACACAGGCTATATATATAATATAAGGGAATTATGCTATGATACACACTCTTAAAAAATGTGTATTGAATTATGATAATTATGTAATTATCATAAATATTATAATTGAATAAGTCCTAATTAAAATAAAAAAAAATAAAAAAACGTGTCATAATCAAATATTACATAAGCTATATTTAAAACATTTTGGATGATAATTTGTCTTGCTATAATCATTTGGTGGGTGTTGCCTACGCGCTCCTTTTACAGTTTCATTCATTATCGGTCTCACACGTTTATAGAGAAGGTAATTTTGTGGCTTATTGTTAAAATAGGTTAACCTTTGACTTTGATTCACTACGCATTTGGATGGAGGAAGTTCCTCCATCTTTAATGGCGTTTGTAGCTTCTAAGGTTCCTTCTTCTATGTAATTACTCTCCCTATCTAATTTTTAATTTTTTTTTTAAATGATAACCAAAATAATATCATAACTAAAATCATTCCCTATATATAATCAAGTTACAACCAACTCTACAATAGATTATAACCAAAAGTTACAAACGTCGTAACTGAAGACATATGATACACACCCATCTTGAAATGTGTATCATAAAATTTCTTATGTAATTAGAGTTAAAATAGTCTTTTTAATAATGATTCCATTATCTAGGATATATTATTAGAATTATATCATTACAATTAAGCTCAAAACACAAAAAGGACCAAAATATGGCTAGGCCTCAATTTTGTTTTAAGTTTTAAGAATTTATTATTTTAATTTTTTACAAAAAGATATATAGAAAAATTTTAAAAAAAAATAATATAACACCTTATAGTGAGTTTTAGGTTAAAATACCTTATCCCAAAAGAGACCTTTTATCAATACAAAAGCCATCATCTTTATTCTTAAGATTTGGATAATTTATAATTTTATATTGTTTGGTATGTTAGAATGGGTTAAAATAAAATGTTGATTATACTCGTGTTTCATTTATCTTTCTATGTAAGTGAGAATACCCATTATTTTTTCTAAATTAAGCAATATCGGTTATATTGTATCATATCAAGTTATGACATTTACCTTATCTAAACATCACATAATGCATAATTAAAGGATTTTTGAATTATAATCAAATAATGTCATAACTAATATTAGTCATAACAATCGCATGAGCCATAATTAAGTCATAACTAGCACCAGAACAAATCATAATCAAATATCACAAAAGTAGTAACAGTGTCACACCCTAAATTTACAGGGTCCAAGCCACGATAAATAAACTCTGGTGACAATAAAATGGCAATAATTAACATAATAAAATAAATCTCTCTTGTGTATATGTATAATCTTTTGTGTAAAATAAATAAAGAATTTATTTACCGAAACAAATAAGTACAAAATTAATCAAGTTGAGTGTGTAACACTCTATCCTTAAGACAAATTCGCCCCGCTTCGGTGTTTACAGATAAATGACGTCTATCTCTCAGAATACAATGATCTTTAAATAGATTGTAGTAGCACTCCAAACAATCTGTACGACGAACTAGAACCTGCGTTCTATATTCTCAGAATTTTATCTAAAAAACTAGTATGAAGAACAATGCAAAGAGAGAGCAAAAACAGGAAGAGAATATGATTTTTGGATATAGAAATATGCTGGAATGGTCTAGTATTTATAGGCAAGTGGTGCCTGTTCGGATAGTCTGAACAGGTTCAATTCAAATTGAACAGAAACATAATTTAAACTGAACAGGTGCGGTGTAGATTTTTCAAATCTATTTGATTTGCTGGAAAATGTGGAAGGAAATTTTGGACCGGAAGAGGCACAATTTTGGACACAAAATTTGAATTCAATTTTGGCGCAAAATTTGAATTAATTTCATTTAGAAAAAATAATTTTCCCTTAAATTTTGTCCAAAAAATTAATATTAGGACCGACTAAACCTATAACCCATACCCGCGCTCGGACGGACGGCAGCGGCGACGGCGATGGCGACGCGCGTGTGTGGTGGTTTAAGCCAAAGCCTACTTTGTCCATAACTCCTTACTTCTACAAACTTGGGGTGCCCCTTGGGGTCCAACCCAAGTTTGTTCACCTAGAGTTTATAAACACACACTAGCTCTCTTAACTTTTCAATGTGGGACAACCATTTAAAGGAAACTCACTTTTGACTCTTCAATTGTCTATTCCACGAACCTAAAAACGACGTTAACTTTCCATTCACTCATAAATGGTTTTGACGAACCGCTTGCACCCTGCGACTTGCCTTGCAGCAAGGAGCACGTTACCTCTTTGGACCCACCCTAAAAGACATGTGGGCCCCACTCAAATTTAGGCTCAAAGTTGGCCCAAAATAAGCCTATAAAAAATCATAATTCCAATAATCTCCCACATGAATGGAATTTGACAAAGAGAAAATGTAATAACATGATCTAATTACAGAGAGTATAGAAATCGGTGATGTTCTGCAAAGGATATATAGTTTTTGGCTTTGAACCTTCCCTTATGAGATTATCGAATTTACTAGCTAACCAGTGAACATGACGTCTTGAACTGTTCAGCCATTTGTGCAAACCAAGACAATAGAATTCACACAGTATATTACCAGACACAGGTTAGTTCTCACTATTGTGCTCATTTTGATCCTGAACAACCTGGTCTTTCATGAGTGCTTTAGAGAATTGTAACTCCTCACAAATCTCATATAACCGGCCCAGTTCACACTCATATAGGTGATTCTTATAAAGAATATCCTGCCATACTCCACTAGGTATTCCTAGATATAAGAATCATTAAAAATATTACTTAACCTAAAACGCTGCAGACATCACTATTTCATCATAGAAAT